TACACTTTCTCATACATACACACACACACACACTCATTCTCATACAAACACACAAATACACACTCACATACATTCACATGCACACACACACACAAACACACACAGAGACACAGACACACGCTCATGCACAAACACAGGCACACACACACATACAGACACGCCCACAAATATTCACACCAGACTCACAGACACACACACACTCACACAGACACACACACACACACATACAGACAAACCCACAAATACTCACACCAGACACAAACACACACACACACACACACAGACTCACACAGATACACACACACACACAAACGCACACAGACATACACTTAAATTCAGTTTCTCTGAAGGGAAGTTTATTGGATCTAATATGTGAGTCTTTTTTGGGAGGATGCTGTAACCCACTCAGCCTTGGTTGGCCCTGACAGGTAGGGTCAAAGCAGCCCACCCTCACTAAAGTGGTCTAAATCGTTTTAATGAGGGTGTTAAACATTTACTGTCAGCATGGTCCAGACCACATTAAAGTGTTTGCTTACTTTACAACTAACAAATATCTTTTGGTTTAAAAAAAAATTATCCTAGACCAAAATAATGTATTTTTGTTGTTGCCTATAACAAAGACTTTTTCTAGCACAGTTTGACTGGTATTGTTTTGTGACCTAAGTATCATATGTTATATTCCAAGTAAATGCTACTAACTTTTTCCTGTGTCATCTTTTGCATGACAAGTCTGGGTTTGTGTGCTGAGCTGAAATGTAGCATTTCTGTTACCATGTGTATTTGCATTTATGTTACTAATGGCACCTGGTGAAGCATTTCTGTTACTAGTATTTGCAAGTTGTAAAGCTTTTATGTTGCTATTGGCAACTAGTAAAGTATTTATGTTACTAGTTGCTAATTGTTAAGTATTCATTTTATAATTACGAACTAGTACTGTAATGCATTGTCTTTTTTCTATCTATTTCAGGTTGCAGGAGAGTTTGCTGGTTTTCTCTGTGGCTGGATGCTCTTCATTGGTAAGATATTCTTTAGTTAACTGGCACATACAATAGATTTTCATGTCTGAGATGGACTGTACTGTTTGATAACTGTGTATTTGCATTGCGCTAAAGTAACATTGTTTTCATATTATGCATGCAATGCTTGGCAAAAAACTGTGTTATAAAACATTTGCAGATACATGTTGTATCAGAATTGTGAATGACAATATTGGATCAGACACTTTCTGTTTCTGGTCACCTTTAAAGACAGAAGCAGATATTGGCTCCAAAAAATAAAAGTAAAGTCTTTGTGTAAGCATGCTAAAACATTTTGATGATTTTACTTTTACCTGACTTTTGTTCTCTTATTAATTATCATCTGTTTTTGCATTTGACTTCTTCACTGAGCTTCTGTCCTCCCTATGTTTTTCAACTGAGGATGTTATGGTTAACTAATTCAGCCTGCAGATAATTTTGAATCCGAATGCAAATAATTTGTAACCATGGTCTCACAAAAAGTTAATTAAAAAATATCTAAATCTGATAAAACCCTATTTGTGGCATATAGAAATATACAGATTACAAAATGCTCTTCAATTATACCCGAAAAGCAAGGGTTGAAATGTAAGTCGTAAGAAAAAAATAAGAGAGGAAAGTGATGTGAAGAAAGGGAGGAATATATAAGTGCTGCTCTGAGCGTCTCTGCATCAAAACACAGGAGACAGTCAGCCGATGTGAGCAACGCTGTGGGCTGAGTCAGTTAAAAACAAAACTTGTTTTATCTTTCTTTTTTCAAGGTGGCATCATGGGTGGCTCCGTTGGTGCGAGGGCTTGGAGCGGAATGGTTGACTCTTTTTTTAATAACTCTATACAGGTGAGGGAAAGGCAATGTTGTATGAATTTCCTGATGATTACTTCAGTGGAGGGAGTCTTGTTTAATCACATTTGTTTCTGTCTGCCTCATTTCTATTGTGAGGTCGGACGTTACCCTTACCAAAGATACCTATGATGAATGTGAGTGGTTGGCAGGTGCTCTGGTGGAGTTTGCTCCTTCTTTCCTATCAAACATCTATCATCCTTATCTCTCCTCCTTTTTTTCTGTTTGTTACTCTTTTGTGACACCTCTAATCTTTGGCACTTATATCATAAGACCTAATTGTGTTAAAAAAGCCTTACAATACTTACTAAAACAACTCTATGATGAATGGTTGGGCAATGCTCTATTGTTACCTTCTCCTTCTATATCTTGTCAGTATGACTGTTATCCTACTGCTCTTGGTGAAGTGTCAGGTTGCAATGGTGCAGCAGTTAATCTCTTCGCCACTGCGTGCTAAAGAGACCTCTTCAATTCCAGATGGTGAAGTCTGTTTTATCTCAATGTTTCTGCTGACATTGGAATGCTGTGTCTTGCTAAGTTTAGGTTGGCTGTGGGAGGCCGGGTCAAAACAGCTTGCCTGCTAGATAATCTTAGTTGCGTCTGTGGGATCATGAAACATTTCTATGGCAAGCTGGTCAGATGTACGTAGCCCAGAAAGCCGAACTTTTTCAGGAGGGAAAAAAAAAACTAACTAAAAAAGTTGTGTGCATTGTAACATTAAGGTCTTAATATTGCTTTATTGTTTTACACATTTCTTTTTATTGGTCTTTGTTGAAAACGGGCTAGTATTTTTGGGTATTTGGAGATAGATAAAGATGAAGTATGTCTTGAAATGCAGTATTTATCTAATAGGCTGCAACTTTGTATATTCCTGAGAGGAGGAGATAGTTGTTTGACATAAACTGGCCTTAGAGAGGAGTTACTGTGAAGTTATGGGAACCTTGAATCCTTCCTTCTTTGAGAACTACATATTCCCTTTTATTTGGCGTCGGTGGTTAGGCTACCTGACTAGTAATTGTGAGGTTGCGGGTTCGAGGTTCGAGCCGCGGGTCTGATGTTGTGTCCTTGGGAAAGGCACTTTACACGAATTTTCCTCTCTTCACCCAGGTGGAAATGGGTACCCGGCCATAGACAGCGAAAGGTCTTTGTCAGTATGTTAGTGTTTTAACGCCTATAAATGGCTGCTTGCACTGTATGCTACCGAGGAAGTTGAGTTTGTTTCAGAGTTCTCTCAGGTCTGCTGAGGTAATAGTATAAATTGTGAAGCGCATAGAGCTTGCTGTTGAGCGGGGATTTGCGCTATACAAATGCTATCTATTATTATTATTATTATTATTATTACTATTTTATTGGTTGGCTCTTTTAGCCAGAGGTGGCTTCAATGTACATGCTCTGGTATTTCTGCTTCTTGTACTTTTGTTCACAATAATTCGTTCACTGATCTGCTCAAGGTGAAATGATTGGCGTCTATTGTAAAATGCTGAGATGCCATTGCTTGCAGAAGGCATAAGTTGAATCCTGGTTTTGAGAAGTTACTTTGTTGAGTGTTTCTGTCTGTTTACTGGGAAGCCAGTCCTAGTCATCCCAGGGTAGCTCTGACAAGCAGTACAAAGCAAATTTCTTCCTATATGATGTAAATTGTATAGTTGGGGGAATGAAATAATAATAGTTACAATCAAATAATTCGATCAGTCAAATTGAGACATGGCCCTTATTTAGGCAATTCACTGTGTACAGCGCGTAAAGCTTGCTGTCGAGCAGGGATATGCGCTATACAAATGGTATTTATCATTATTATTATTATTATTATTATTATTATTATTATTATTATTATTATTATCATTATTATTAATGATTATGATTATTTTATTATCTTAACTCGAAATGCAGGACGACAACAACATTCTCTAGCTGGAAACTGAGTATACACATTCATGAACAGTCGTGTCAGTGGCGGAGCGGTTAGTGAGCTCAGATTTTCAGTAATGCCAAGAGCATGTCAGTTACCACGGTGTTGTGCAGGTGGTTAGTTGATGGTGTGTCGTGTCCGTGAACAAGACACGATAACAATGAAAGTTTAAAAATAGGGCTGTAAACAGTGGTGATCAACAATGGTGTGTTGATTGTCTGCATTGATGTGATATAACATCGTGTGATACTATGTATTGTTAATAGATCATTGTGTGTGTGTGTTTCTATTTATATATCAATTGCTTTGTGTAAGGCTCTACCATATGCCGGGGGCTCTTGTGGCCTAGAGGTTAGGGTGTTGGCCTCTCATTCAAAGGTCCCGGGTTCGAATCCGGGTAGTGAACGAAAAATGTTCTTCTCTAAAATTGTCTCCTTTCCTTCTCTCTAGCAATGTTCTGTCCTCTGCTTTCGTCTCCTCTTTCTGCCCCACCCCCTCACCTCCTTTGCCCCCTCCTCTGGGCTCCTGACTCTTTCTGCAGCTTTTCTACTGCTACTACTTGGCTCCTTCTTACTGCTGTCTTTCAGCCACACCCCTGATCTTCTGGTAGCCTTCTCAGACAAAGGGATAAAAATCTCGGAGGGCCTATTTGCCAGTTGCGCATGTTAAAGATCCATTGGTGGTCTAAAATCGATATGAGTAAGCTTTTAAAAAGATTTTCTGTTGTTTTTCTTCCACAGGCATACACAGTTGATCATTTAGGCAAACTCGATTTTGGTTTGCCATTTGCTGAGTCCCTGGATGTTGTGGCATTTCTCTTCCAGCTGTTCATCATCATCATTGTGTCCTGCAACGTCTTCTGCTCATCAATCGTCAACACCATCCTTGGGTTTCTCACCACTTCTGTGCTCGTCTTCGTTTTCGTCGCCGGACTCACTTTCGGGGATTCCAAAAACTTCCTGAATGCCGACCATGGGGGTTTCGCCCCGTTTGGAGTCTCAGGGATAGTGAAGGGGGCCTCGCTTGCTCTGTACGCCACTATTGGCTTTGAGGTTATAGCTGTTTCGTCTGAGGTGGGTGCAGCGTACATCAACAAGTTTTGGCATTTTCATAAAAAAACCCAACTGGCTTGAGTTTATTTTCTTAGAGAGATATGATTTCTGATGACTTGCATCACAGTTAACATGGCGCAAAATTAACTTTTTACGTAAAGGTGTCAGGCTCTTACAATGACTGGGTTCTAAGTCCACATTTTTTACGAGAGCTAAGTTACACACCATTCATTCATCACTGACAAACATGCCCTGCATACTATGTCAAAGGCTCAAAACAATCTGAACTGTATTTTTGTCAGCTTGACGCTTATCAGGTAAAGTGTTAAAACATTTTAGCTTAGAATGTGAATCTTTGAATTCTGTTGTCTCAAAACTATGCGTCCTGGAGTTAGATGTCAGAGAGCGAAATGTGTTAGCAGTTATTTATGTAGGGCAGTGTTTCTGGTTTGTAATTCTATTTACCAATAGCTTTGATAATTTATGACTTAACAGGTTTTTTCCAAGCTTTTGAATCGCTTCTTAAAAATTGCAATATATTAAGTTTCATTGTTTATTTTTATTTAATTTATTTTGGTTGCTTGTGATAAAGCTATTTTAAAATGGCAACATTGAGAGAACGTCACCGTTTTTGTGTAAATGACTTTTGGAATGACTCACTTTGTTCTGTTGTCCCAGGAAGCCAAGAATCCATCCCGAGCTGTTCCCCGTGCTATCATTCTAGAGCTGATTCTGGTTGCAGCTGTTTACTTGGGAGCAGCTATTGGCCTCCTTTTTCTTTGCCCTTACTGGTTACTGGATCTCCGAGCACCATTACCGTCTGCCTTTGAGTACAGCGGGGTCATATGGGGCAAATATATCGTGACGATTGGCCCCCTGTTTGGAATCACCAACCTGCAGATGCTTGGACTCTATGGAGCCTCAAGAATCATGTACCGCATGGCTGTTGATGGATTGTTCTTCTCGTGGTTCAACAAGATTGAAAAAAAAACGGGAGTGCCTCGTAACTGCGTAATTTTTCTGGGAGTTCTAGTTGCTTTTTTCTCTCTTTTATTTGATTTGTCGTACGTTGTGAAGGTGAATGTGCTGCTGTTGCTTCTAGGTTATATTGCTCTCGGCTCTGCCCTCATCAAGTTAAAGGTTACAGAAGCTCTCAAAGTAGGGGAAAGAAGCACCTCTGTGAAGCAGCTGAAGAATTTGTGTGACGAGGATGGTGGCGGTCGACTTCCCCAAGAATTTTATGACCATGAAATGATTATACCCGATGAAAACCAGAATAGCGAAAATTCAGTAGACGTAAATACTTCAGCTCCTCCGTCTTTACGGTTTGATTTAGCTAACGTGACCAACAGTAATGATGCGGCTCGTAATGCCGTCGTTCACAATTCAAACATTGGTCAAGGCTCTTTTGATGTCAGTAATGATTTCGGGCCTCGAAACAGCAGTTTGAACAACTTGATAGATGTAGGTGACAGTGACAGCACTATGAGGGAAATGGAAGATGAAATCACCGAGTACGAGATGACACCGGCTGCTAGCAGTTTACAGGAGGAGGAGGAGGATCCGCCTTCCCTTCCTGCGGAGGATCTGGGACCTGCTCCAAACTTTGCTTCCGTCTCAGTCGGGCCCACACCCGAGGAAATTCATCTGAGCAGCAGACACGGAAGCGGATTAAAACAGCGGATGACGACCCGAGTGTCGATGGTAGTCCCAGGTATTCTATCGGTGAATGTTCTTCTTCTGTTGCACTTTGTCACCTGTTTCGCCCTGGCGGCACAGATCAACTTCGGGTATGAGGACTTGTTGGCAGGACATCTGGTGGCCGTGGCCGGGCTGACCACTCTGGGCGTCTCTCTCCTGACCTTCTCCGTCCTGCTGGGGCTTCTGTGTGGGGAGGCTAGGACTTCAGGGTTCCAGGTGAGGGAATATACAAGTTCTAATACAATTACTAATTTTACAAATTACCGGTACTCCAAAACTTCTTTTTTCAGACTCTCAAGCCTCATGCAGCTATTACAGAATGGCATCATGCCATGCAGAAGAGTTAATGCTCAGATGCTACTAGATCGCTAACAACAACAACAAGCCTCATTGTAACCTATTGTCATTAAGAGCCAACTTTATTTCACCTGTCAATATCAAATTGTGCAGTACTATACAGACGCAGCGTAGTCGGGGTTTGAGTTGAAGCGTGTATCCACAAAATTAGATCAAAAGCTTCTTTTGTCTGAAATCATGTTATTCACTCCAGAAGTTACAATAAGTGATATTATAATTAATAGAAATGACACTCTACATAACATTTTGAGCAATGCTGGAAGAAAATAAGAACATATTTTTGCCCCCACTAATTTGGCGGATTCACATTCACTGTGGAGTCAGATATAGTGATAAAATTGTCAGTCACTCCAGATTTTCTTGTCTCTGATATAGGAGTTAACCACTTGTGTGTTCACTCCCCATGAAAATGAATATCATTTTAGTGAAAATGAAAAAAAAGAAAAGTATTATTGATATGCATTTTATTTTTTTTTGTCTTAAAGATTTAAATATTTGAAAAAAAAAGAACATTTTCCCTTTACAGCCTGCTTCATTAGTGTGTCTGATGTTCACATGTTGTGTATAGTAAGTCACAAAAAGATTAAATGATAGACTGTGGTGAAACAGTGGTCAGTACAGTGATGTCTCATCTCCATTTCCAATGATGTTCGAGTGTTTCCCTTGATGTTCAATAATCAAATTATAATTGTAAATGTACTTGCGTGTTTACTCTTTAGACATAAATTCTTTTTTGAAACAATACCAGCTCTTTTTTAAACCAAATTTTGCAATGCTATGAATCCACATCTACAATTACGTTCAGAGCCTACATCCATGTTACTCCATTGTAGGTAGGCACACCTGCATATACATGCACACTCACACACACACACACACACACACACACACACACACACACACACACACACACACT